ACGCGGATGCATCCTGAGGAGCAGATCATGGCGTCACTCAGAGGAGGGGGGGACCTCGACCCAAAGCAAAGTACTATGGTAAAGTAGACGACCACTACCGCTTCGGCTTGGGAAACGCGCGGCCGGGAACTCGCAATCTATCTCCTGCGTTGCGCCCGTATCTGGGAGAGATGGCGGATAAACTCGTCCATGTTGGCGCCAAGCAGCCGCAGCCCACGCGACGCCGTAGATCTCGACAATGTGTTAACAGCCCAGCACGCAACGCTGCTCCTCCTCCCAGTGTCGCTCTCCCTCTGCCCGTCGTCTGCTTCTGCTTGCTTGCGCCTCGGGATCTAGGCACGTCGTCCCGGGTCCCTGCTTGCCCATCCCTACCTACCTTTGCATTGTCGGGTTCGCATCTGCGACGGGCGGTAATTCCACGAACCAACAGCGACAGGGCATCCATGGTCCGCGCCCGGAACATCTCTCTCTTGTCTTCTCTCTCTCTCTCTCTCGAGGGCATCGTGCCAATAGACAGTCCCATTGCACGCGCTGCCGACGTAGATCACGGGGTGTGACCGTCTCCAATATTGCCTTGGCCCAGCAATATGCCTACAAGCGACATCCATCGTCAAACCACTACATTTCGGTCCCACTGGGACAGGTAGGGCGCCAAGACGCACCATTCTCACGCCCCCAACACCAGAGACAGCACAACCAACTAACCAACCAGCCGGCCTCTGACGCGATGCAGTTCATCGGTACGGGAGGTAGGGTTTCAGTGCGAGTTGCAACCGACCGTCCACCTCCCACAGGCACAGGCACAGGCACAGGCACATGCTGCCATCAATACAACCTTGGCGGCCTGTCTTACAACCCCCAACCACGGGATTCAGCGAAAATGCAAACTAACTATCAACAAAGCTACCCAAAAGTCCCCCAAGATGGATGCGGGCGGGCGGGGGGGAGGAAACCTAAGAATAGCGGGAAAGGCCCCCAAACAGATTGCAAGATGAGAGCGAGCACTGCATGCACGGGGCACACACACGGCGTGACTGCCTTCCAGGGACTCTTCTTCCCTCTTCCACTTTCTGACTGCAACTCTATATTGCCTGCCAACCGGCTTCAGCCCCCAGAATTACACTACGTCGCGAAAGGCTCAGCCCCAGAACCTGAGAGGGGGGGGGAAGCGAGATAAGAGAGGCGTGAGGTATACCCTACTGAGTTAGTAATTGGGATACCAACAAAACAGCCGAGACACCGGATGTGGAGGGTTGGGTTTACGTGACGCAACCCGGGCAAGCAAACCAATGTCGACAAGAATGCCGAATGGAATAGAACTAGGCGGAAGCCCCCTTGCCGGTGATGAGGAATATAGGGCCCATTATCATTCTCTGTACCTCACCACATATACCAACCAGTATTGGAGGGAGGGGGCTAAGAGTCAACATGCTTGTCCTGTTACCTTGGACACATCTGAGACAAGTTGCCAGCGCAGCCATTCATTCCCACCACCCCCTCCCTTCAATTCCCTTGGCTTCCATCTTCCCCGTGACAAATTTTTTTCTCCTCGCCTCCTTTGCTTTCCGCACCCGCAGCGCATACGCACGGGTTCGTATTGTCCCGCGGGATCACCCGTTTCGTTGAGAAAGAAAAGGAAACCCAGAGGAAACCCAGGGGTCTATCAGCTGGCGCGTCCCTCATGTCTTAGCATTATACAACTAAGTGGGGGGGTGATTATTACACACTCTCTCAATGCGCCGGTTTTTTTTTTTTTTGCATCAGGATACCTGGCTCAGAAGTACCTCGCCGTGAGGTATGCGTGTCTCTCTCTCTCTTGTTGGCCATACTACCCGGCTGCATGGTGGCTTATGCGTTAGGCGACGGGCTTTGCCTTTTCCAGACTTGCGTATGATACATCCTATCAGTGACTTCTTTTATCTCTCTCTCTATGACACGCAGACAAGCCCCCTTTCACCAATTACAAAGACGTGCCGCCCATCCACAACCACCCCCATACAACTCGCGCTCACCCATCAGCCACAGTCCCAAAGACCCCAAAACGAAGAAAGGGGAAACAGAATAAAATAAATAAGGTGGAATAAGAATGGCCGATGGAACTTTCCACTTCCTTTCTCTTCTTATCTTATTCGTGCATTTTGTGTGGGTTAGAAAGGGGACCTGCATGAGCGGTATAGATAATTCGCGACATATATTGCGCGTCTACAATTAGGCTCAATGGGCTGATCGGCGACAAACAAAAAAAAAAGTGCAACCCGCCAGACACACATGCACATGCCAAGTGCTTTCCCTCCAGGGCTTCCTGACTTGACATGATCAGCGAGAAGCGAAACGCGTATGTACAAGGGGGGGCGTGCCGATGCAACTCTGCCCATTCCTTCAAAGAGTAAAAGTCGCCGTATACCTGAACAAGCTTACTCCAGGGTAGTGATAACCACAAAGTTGGCCGTTATTCTCTCTGTCTTTGGTGTAACTCCTTTCGTCCTCAACGCACGCACGGAGCAGCCGGAAGACAGTTAATCTCGCTTGTCGCAGAGCCTTCCTCTTCTATTGGGCAAGCAACCAACTCGCGCTCGCTACCTCTCTCTCCTCAACTCGACATCCCTGCCCCTTTCCGTTCAAAAAGGCCCATTCATCCATCCACTTTTCTGTCTTATCTGCTCGCTTGGTGGTGGCGCACAAACAAATCACCAAATACTCCGTATGCTCAGTAAAGGCACAGGCCTCGATGACCATGTCCCTTGTCTTGATTACTCGGCGTTACCACGAGTTGCTGTCTAAACGCGGCACGGCAACACGAGAGTGGTTTGCTGCTCGTGCACCGCCCGTCACTCAGAACTGCCCCGCCCCAAGTCTTTCTTCACTCGCTAAACACAGAACAGTGGAGTGTGTGTGTGTGTGTGTGTGTGTGTGTGTGTGTTGTTTTCGATGCACCCGGGTGCAGGCGCTTGCATGAGGCATGAGGCAAAAGGTATCGATCGTCCCACACTCGCTCGGCCTGTTAGCCTAAAGACCTCTTGCCCACACCCCCGTCTCCCAAGGTTCATCCGTCCTCTCCATCCGCTTCATCGTCTCCCCCCTCTGCCCCGGCCGCCGCCACGGCCACGGCCACGACCACGGCCCCGTCCCCCTCCGCCTTTCTTGCCTCCCCTGGTACCTCTTCGGCTGTCGAACCTTTCGTAGAGCATCTCCTCACCGAACGCTCCCTCGCCGAACCTGATGTAATTAACCAGGCCTCTATCCACAACCGCGACAAGCACATTGCGGTGGCCGTGCTTGAGTCGTTGGAACATCTTTCCAGGTCCCTTCCATGCTTCGTTCGGCGGGTCGTAGGGCGTCGATTCCAATAGCGCCTCGATTTGCGCCAGAGACGGCACAAAGGAGGCATCCGCTTCCACCACGGCGATTCTAAAGTCAGGAGGCGGCGGGTTCTTCTTTGTGAAGGGCGCGCCCCCAGACCTCCACACGTGGAAATCGATCTGAAAAGGCGCTTCCGTTGTATGATGAGCCTCAGGAACAGGTAGAGGTTTGTGGCGAGGCAGGATGGCCAGGCGTTCGTAGATGGACCGGTAGCTTCGGTAGAGACCCGGCGACACAACCGGGCCGAAAGGTTTATATGTAGGCGTATGCTCCCGCTTGACGAGGGAGAAGAGCCATTGCCATATGGTCTCTGGAGGCGCTGTTGTCGACTTGGGCGGATCGTGGCTCGGCTCGGCGCGCAAAACATAGAAGCCCGACCTCCTCAAGTTTGCGTAGACTTGGTACACAGGCAGCGTGATCTTGCCTCTTTCCCGGGCATGCCCGATGAACATGGCGTATGCTGCCTCGAGGCTGAGCGGCACGCCGACGCTGTAGTCATCTGGCCCTAATGTCGACTTCCGCGCATCGCCCTTGGGCAAAAGCTGCTCAAACTCTGCCGTCGGCCACCATACATCGACGGTGCCGCGCTCCACGAGGAAGAGCGCTTCCTCGGGCAGGAGCCACAGCCTCCCGGATCCCATGTTGCTGGTGTTCCCGGGAAGAACCCTGCCGATGGCCTTAGACCAGGCGCCGCGGTTCTGCTCCATGACGACCACCCGGTCTCGCCACGATGCTTCCAGCTGATTATCGGGCGCGTCCATCTTTTCGGTCATCCAGTCTGGGAAATACCAGCCCCTCACCCAGACATCTTGCCTGTGAAATCTCGTGTAACTTAGAACATCTGACATGGCTCGTCGGCTTGACTCCAGCGTGTTCTCCTGGGCCATGGTGCCGTGCGACTCGAAGTCCTTCTCGCCCTTTCGGATAGTCTTGCTCGAGACATTGTTCTTGTTGAACATGGAGTGGAAGAGGCTGAAGTCGGGTACCTCGTCGTCGAGCGCCTCCTCTGCTGCACCCCCTTCGCCGCCGTCGGCCAAGGGCTTGCGAGCGACTCTAAGGTCGTCGTCATCATCAAACGCCATCCTGTGCTCTGGAAGGACGTCCCGGGCTGCCAGCGGGGTTCCCAGTGTGCCGTTCACTATAACGACAATATTCTTGCAACCAGATGAGATGCCAAGAGTGATATGCCTGCAGCCAGTCAATGACCTGTCCGGAAGATACTGAATGTCGCGGGGCCAATCTTACAAAAAGATTATGGGGAGATTCAATTTACTGTAGCCAAAGAGAAACTACAAGTCCAATCACGACATTGGATTGTGTTTGAGTGATACTGAACATTGATGTCTTCCAAACTTTCAAAATCGATGACCCCAGTCAAGTCGAATTTGGTGGATGAGTCAGCAGTGAAGTCTACTCGGCAGAAGGGCCTTCCAAGTACCTATGCGCACTAATTCTCAAGAACAGGTCTAGAAAATTTGAGTAGCACGCCATAATACACATGAGATTTTTCTCACTTTCTGAACCAAGAGCTATAGAGACAGCATAATCCCCAAAATAGCTCAGTCGCTTCATCCGCTGCCCAGGCACCTTGGACGTGACTTCATAGTATTTGCTAAGCTCTTCCACCGTCACATGATATAGGGAGTCTGGCCGAGTGGTTAAGGCGTTGTGTTTAGGTCTTCATTCATACTTGAACCGCAATGGGTACGCCCGCGCAGGTTCGATCCCTGCGGCTCCCAAAACTTTCTTTTTGACTTTCTGGACGTTTATCTTGATAGCGAAGCCAGTTCATTATTTTTGGTTGGGCTGCAGAAAGACCCAAGGTGTGCAGATTATTTCGACTCGGACTTTATTACAGTAGAGGGCCAGTGAGAACCTGAGCATCACTTTGTTAGTCCGGACTTCGGCTACGAGCCACATGGGCAGACGCCCGCCTTGTGCCTTGGTATAGCGTCTTGTGTATACACAGAAAGCACCATGTGTTGTAGAGTCTTCCTTCTATGCATATCATTATGTTGATTTCATTGATTTGCCTGAATAGCCAAAATGAATGGCCAGGATGCTGCGTAAAAGATTTGTCTACTCATCTCGATGAAACAAGTATGTTGATGCAAGCTCACTAGGGCATCTCGGCTTCATCGACTCTGCACACCAAGCTTCTTCCACCTGGATACCGTGTGACAGTTGTCGCGCAGCCTGGTCTGGAGCCCGTGAGAGATGCAAGCGCCAGCTGGTACCACCCCCCTCCAACGCCGTGCTATGCCTTGTAAAATAATCGTTTGCTGCGCCGTATCCGAATGAACGCCCCCTTCGTCCTGTTTCTTGGGTATACCTTATGACGATGAGTAGGCCAACATCCACCTTCCTTTCTGCCGAGTTCTGAGGGTACTGACAATCAGAACCGCACAGGATGATGCTGTAGCAAAAGCCAGGCAGATGCCTGCAAATAACGAGCAGCCATGAGACAACTCTGTTTCTGCCGTCATTCGCCACCACTAATCTGCTTTTCGGTGAACCTCCAGGGCAACATCTCGTCAAGTCAGAGCCTCCTTCATTCAATGAATGGTTTCTTCTGCCCTCCCACCATGCACAAACCAAGTGCCCGCAGTGATTCGCGGTCGTTTGCCAAGACGATGGAGTGTGCTGGTAGCATAGGATTGTTTGGATCAACATGTGATGCGTCTTTTGCTGATTGTTCGATAGCGTCCATCTCTTCTTTGCACCCCTGCTGATCCAGAGGGCATATTACAATTGGGTGCCGAAGTTGAAGATCGCGAGCACCACTGAGTTGTACCTGGATCTCGGTCAGCAACATCGTCAGTTTCATCCCTGTATGCATACCTTGATATGGAGGTAAAACTCAATCTTATACAGCGTAGACTGTGTGGTGAATGAAGCAACTTCGTACATGGGAAACGCGGGCTTCCCTCGCTTCACTATCCCCTCAGGGTCCCTCAGGTCCTTGGAAGGAAAGCAAAGGCCGATATTCGTGGCGTAGCCTGCCTCAGGCAACCGGGTCTTAACCAGCTGGACCTGCTTGGAGAGCTTGTTGATCTTTCTTGTTGGCTCATCGCCTTCGGGATTGAAGGTGATTTCTTCTTCTATTGTCAAAGTGATCTTATCGATGGTGACCTTCTTGGCTTTTGGCCAGTCGGCGTTGGGGGAGAGTTTGATGTAAACAGTTATGGGGTCACTGGGCCCATAACTCCATTTCGGCAAGTTCATGCCCAGATGCACCATGTTGTCGTTGGTCACGACCTTGGTCTCGGGCTTGTTGTACATGCCAAAGGTTGATAGAGTGTCGTATCGTTGAAGAGGCATTGGGAAGCTATATTTATATTGGCTGCTGTGTCCCTGCTGAACGGTAACGACAAGTTCGTAGTACGTCTCGGCCGTGCGGTTAGGGAGCTGAAGTGAAGCCGGGGGTATTCGCCGGTTCGTCTCTTCTCCGCCCCGGCCAAAGGGAATGAAAAGAACAAAGGGCAGGTCCATGGCGATGACGTTTTCCGCCTCCTTTCCTGATGCGCAGCGGAACAGCAGCAGCTCTTTGCCCACTACGTCGGTTGATTCTCTCCGCGGAGTGCCAAGATGCCGTTTCGTCAAGCTATCAGCGTCGGGATGGATCGTCTCGCGTCGCTGCAGGCATATTCGAACCAAGGATATGGGGACGGGCATGGAGAAGCCCTGGCCGGGTCGAATCTCAACCTTGCCTTCGATGCGCGGCTTGGTGGGTGTCAGTAACTGCGGCCAACGGCCAGGGACCAAGACCAAGGGCCGGCGTCCGACAAGAGGTGCATAAACTTACCAAGGTCGCTGAGATTCCTGGATACCCGACCAGAAAGCTGCTGTTGGGAGGGCCCGAGACTCTCACGCTCGCGGCGCCCGAGTTGGCCATGTTGATTATGAAGATGTGAATCCAGCCGTGAAGTCAAACAGAGAGGGGGTATCGGTAGTGGCGGCGGGGGGGTTTTGCGCTTGTCGTCAGCATTAGGTTGAGGCTGGGAAGAGAAATCCAGGGTTGGGCGACACAAGTCGGTCAGTCGATGGACTGGCTAGCTGTGCGCCTAGGTATCGCAGTTCGATGGTCGTCTCGGACGATGCAGCCGCTGATTGTCGGTCGCATGTCAAGGCTCTACCGTCGGGAGGTGAGCTGTGGTCGAGGGCGCGCACCCTCGTCGTGCAGCAGCTGCGCAGGTTTGGAATCCGGCGTCGGTGCAGCAGTGGGTGCAGGTGTGTGGATGCGGATGCGGATGCGGGTGCGTGTGCGTTGGGGTTGGAGGTGGCGGGAGGGCAGGGCGGGATGCTGATGCTGATGCTGATGGAGGAGCTCCAGAGCAAATGTGGCTGAGGATTGGGGGTCCGATCCGGGGATAAAAGGCATGGCACCGATCCGGCGGAGCCTGAGAATCGAAGGAGCCGGCAGGGCCGACAGCGACAGGGTCTCTCGCAACAACGAGATATGGAGGATCGGGGGGGGGAGGGGGAAACAAGAGGATGTCTTGGTAGAGTTGTGGAGAGGAATAGCCTGGCAGACAGGCAACAACCTGACAGAAGAAACTCCAGGCAGGTGCAGCTGATGAGTAGTGGACTGGGCCGGTACCTTAAGTTGGTAGGTACCTACTTTATTATCACTTCCAGAAAGTGGGGGAGGAGGGGGCCAAAGTTGAGAGAGATGGACGTTTTGGAAGTAGGATGGAATGGAGAGGAAGGTGAGGAAAGAGGCCCAGAACCAAAGCGACAGGTTGAGCGAGATGCGGGTGCAACTCAACTCTGCACTACATACCTACACAAACAAGAGGACCACGGCATAAGCAAGGATGGTAACCTGTGCAACAGCTGAAGGTTGTGGCAGGCAAACAGAGGGAAGCAGCGGCGGAGCCCCAATCACCCCACTTGTGCCAGCCAGAGGGAGGTACGTAAGGCTAGCTAGCCGGGGGGGAGGGGCAATTCAAGGCTGCCTGTACACAGGATGCATAATATCAGTACTCTCGCTTACAGCAAAAACTCCATGCCAAGGTCGCTCTTGAATCAACCAACAATATGTACCGAGTAGAGCAGATCGCCTGGCCTGTGCTTATTCCTCCTATGATTTTTGTTGGGCAATACGATCAAGGCAATTTCCCGTGAATAAGCAAGCACCAACAGCGGGCTACGGCAAGGCTGTCAGCAAGAATGCAACCAGAGTCCTAATTCGCATTCGCATGTCCCACTGCCCTGCTCCTAGATCTGCGCGTGGCCACATGCCGGGCGGTGTGGTCTCGCGAGTTTCGCTTTGCACCACATATCCGTGCTACCTCTCGTTATGTACCGAGGGCCTCCATTCCGAGAACTGGACACACTGGCTTTCACGTAGCGCGTCTGCCAGAAACCTTGGCTCCTCGGCTTTGGGTTAACCTTGTTTCGTTCCGAGCATGGCTTCTGCGGCGTAAACGAAGACGCAACCGCTCGTACGCGTACGTACGCGGTGTATCGCCGCAGGCCAGCGCAATGATTCCCCACTGGTCATCTCGCAACCTTGACGCATATCACCGCTATTTGAACGAGCCATCAACGAAGCCTGTCATCCCAGTTATCAAAGAACCCTCCATCCATCGATCCCTCCATCGAAAAGACTGCCTTGGCTTTCCCCACCAGGCCGCCGATTCAGCCTGGTTGTTCCTTCGCTGCTCCACCACGCCGAGGCATGTCAGCAGCAGCACCATGCGGTGATGCGAGAAGGGCTGTCGATCCTGGAACACGCAAGCTGGACGAATTGTGAATCTCGTTTCATTGGTCGCAATTTGTGTGAGCACTCCACTCTGTCGCATAATGTGCAACTCTTCGTTGGCTCTCCCATCTCACATTGCTGCTTCATGATGCCCCCAATGGTAGCATCCGATGCTGCTATCAGCTCCGTATGTGTAGCAACCAATGATGAGCACACCACAAATGAATCCATGTGCCGAATCCTCTTCCCAGTCAATGAACACTACGCCCCCGCAATCCCATGCAATCCCATGCATGCCTATCTGTCCTCGTGCATTTGTGTGCACTTTTGTGCAGGTCTCCTCCTTGTGTCTTCACTTTCAACCTCCGCCGCCCCAGGAGCCCTTTCCATCATAAACGAAACAAAACAAGAAGTCAGTTTCCCAGCTCGTCGCCAGTGTCCGCACCGCGCTGGTATCCCTAGGAACCAGGTACCGGTATTCTCAAGGTCGAAATCCTTCGAGGTGGTTCAAGACATCGTCCGTACTCCGTATTTGCCCATTGCCCAATCGGGCTAAGAGCTCCCGACCTGCATGAAATCTTATCTCAACATGACATGTCCCACGTCTCTGCCATCACTTTCCCACCATCCAGCCAGCTCAAGCTACCACCTTAGCTATAGCCAGCCTTGAGACCGGCGGCTTGCAGAATCCGCCATGTCTGTCACGCTACACACCACCCTCGGCGACCTCAAGATTGAGGTCTTCTGCGAAAGCGTCCCCAAGACCGCCGAGGTAGATTCTTTCCCATTCTCCTCAGCATGCCCGTCTCGCTAACATGCCTTCCCCCCCCAGAACTTCCTCGCTCTCTGCGCATCCGGCTACTACGATCAATCGCCCTTCCACCGCCTGATCCCCAAATTCATGATCCAGACCGGCGCTCCTGCCCAGCCGACCCCCGAGAACCCCAGAGGCGGCCGCTCCATTTGGGGCGGCACGTTTGACGATGAGATCCGCCCTGCTCTGCGCCACGGAGACCGAGGAATCGTGTCCAT